CTCTTTCGAAGCCCAGTTGAGTTGAGTGTACTACAAGTTGTAGTAGGAACCGATCGCAAGGATTTGAAAAACGGTATCGGCGTCCAAAGTCGGATCCCTTCGACAGGACGAGGTATTGCGCGGGAGCCAAGTTCACGACAACCATCAGCATCCAGGGAATTTTCCCGTGACATTGGGCTCGACAACCGTCCGCAACGCGTTTCGTCATCCGTCGTCGCCGGCGCTACCCCGCAGCTGCGTAACTTTCGGGCTCATTTCGAGAAATGCAGCGTCGCTAACCAACAAGCTTGCGTTCGCGGCCATCACACGCTTTGGCCTTGCTGTCGTGATGTACGCGAGATGTCGCTTGGCGACTTGCCGCCGACGTTGAGGACGCGCAAGCTCGACCGCGTGGTCCTCACGGACTTTCCGCTGCCGCCACAGCTCGGGTACCTTCAACTACGCAATGTGACCTTGACCAGCGACGCTGTTGCCGATCTCATTGCATGGCTCGCCACCTCGACGACGCTCTTTTGGCTCGATCTCACCAAGTCGGGCTTACTTGACGACCAGCTTCGAATGATCTTCTACGCTCTGCCGCATTGTCTCAGTCGCCAAGAAAATGCGTGCACTGTGCGCCTCGAGGTGACGTATGAAAACGAGCCGCTCATCGCGGCCGTGGTGATCCAAACCCGCAACACGCAGCAGGTGCAGTTGGAGCTTTGCAGTGGAGACAATCACCCCGCGATGCGCCAGAGTCTCGTGACAGCCTTGGGCACCTCGTCGCGGGTGGCGTTGCGCTTCCAGAACAAGTACGGGAACCAAGTTCGTCACGAAGAGCTCGCCAAGTGTGCAACTTTGCACGGCATGTACCACTCGCATGGCTGGCTCTTCTCGCCTACCTGCACGCCTTGGATGCCGCTTGCGTAATTGCGTCGCGTCCACGCTTGAATTCTTTCCATCTCCTCGCGTTTGATGTGGGACTATCGCATTTGGAATTCATCTCGGTCATGTCGCAGCACAACATCACACCTTCGAGGGTGGACCGTGATACTTTTGTCTGCGTTGTTAACAATATTTGAATGACAATGAGCTAAGCATTGTCGAGGGCTGACACGTGTCTTGTAGCAACTCGAGTACAGGGAGGGAACTGACCGTCGTCTCGATTTCCCTCACTGCCTTTCCGACGTGCCATTTCCCACATTGCAATTCCCACATGCTATTTCCGACACGTGTGTTTTTCACACGGGCAAAGCTTGCGTTTGCAAGCATGGAAGCCAAGCGACCGCGGGTAGCGACGACGTCGTGGCTGCTGCCGCCGATCGTCCTGCAGGTCGCCCACTGCCTGCGTGCGACGACTGACGTCGTGGCCTTCCTCGAAGCGGTGCCTGCCGACGCGCCGGACGACGGCCTCGACGCGCTCCTCCTGCTCCTGGAGACGCCTGGCCCGTCACGTCGCTGGCCACCTTGGAGACCATGAACGCGTCGACGGTGCGAAAGGCGCTGCCTGCGCTCCGTATCCTCTGGGTCGACGAAGGCCACGACGCAATGGCCCTCTGCCACGCGGCGTTGCGGCTGCCATCCACGATCGACGTCCGCGCTGGCGTCGACAACAATTGCGATCTCAAAGCGACCTTTGACCACTGGGTCGCCAACATTGTCGACCTCGAAATCATCGTCACGGACGACGAGCTCGACGGTCGACGCCTGCAATGCGAGCTCGCAGCGTGTCCCAAGCTAGCTCGAGACGCTCATTGTCGCGTGGAAATGTGACATCGATCAAGCGCAGTGGGATGACGTCCTGACGGCGATCATGGCGGCGTGCCAGCACCTCTGCTGCCTCGTACTCTCCACCGACATTCCCTTCGACTTGGAGAGCTGTGGGTCTTTTCTTCATTGGCTCGCACGAAATCCGGAATGCTCGCAAGTTGAAGCTCCCGCGCATCGACTTTGCCGCAGCCGCTGCCAAGGCCTTGGCACACACCTTGCTCTCGTCGACATCGTTGCATACGATCAAGCTCATTGAAGCATCGATGACGCTGCAAGCGATATTGGATCCGTCGGCGCCACCGCTGCCCCGACACCTCCGCAACCTCATGATCGGACTGGACGACGACACATACGATGTACCCACGCTCGGCAGCAAACTAGCAGCGGTCGCGCTTCGGAAACTACCGTTCCGCCTGTGGGTCACGTGCAAAATGGCGTTGATCATGGCCGCCTTGCCGCGCACGCTACGCAAGCTCAAGCTGGATGCGATCAAGATCGCGAATTTGCCGCCGTTGCCAGAGCTCCGGTACCTCGGTTTGCGCTCGGCGACCTTGACCGACGACGCGGTCACTGGCGTCCTCGCATGCCTTGCAACTCGATCGCCGCTCGTCCAACTGGACCTCGCGACCTCGACGCTGCCAGGCAACCAGCTTCAAACGATCATTCATGCGCTGCCGCCATGGCTCGACACGGTCAAGGATGTCCGAGGGCACAAAGACATTTTACATTGATGGACATCAGTCTCCACTACTGGGTCTCATAGGACGACCGTACGAGTCCCCATGGATCTGAATGGGTCCGAACGAGCAATTGCATTTCCATGTAGAGTTTACTAGGACATTTCTTCGCATTCATCATCACGGCGGACTTGGCTGTAAGCTCAAATGCAGAACGCTGCATGTTTCTCTATAGCACTGACACAGAGCCAAACCACCAATAACCGCTAAAAGAGTAGACGAATAATAGTTATCGTCGTTGAGCCTACAAGTGTCGTTGGGCCGCCACGCTTCCGGCAGTTGCCAAAGACAGCTTGATTTCTTCGCACGATACCTCCTGCCAGTACTCTAGTACTGTCGTGTTGATGGAACGATAAACTGTGCGGTTAGGTTTACTGAAGAAAGACGGGATTGTGTTGATGGTTTAAACGCAGGTCTGGTTTAGACGAGCGCTCGGCTCGCGTCGGGTGGTGTCTCGACGTGCAACGACTGCAGATTATAGTGCTTTGTGCACAGCTGCTGCACTTTGGCCAGTCGTTTGCAGTTGGGAATGCAGCAGCGCGGTCGGTGTTCGTCGCACAAGCCGGCGCCGCGGCCTTTCTTGGAGCACCCATGCGCTTTGCAGTAGAGAAACCCGCCGTGGCGCGCGCAAAAGACGCCGCCGCGCTGGGTCTTTTGAGGCACCCGCCCGCAAACTTGCAGATGGCGCCGCCTCCGTGCGCGACGCAACGCCCGCGGCACTGGCTCGCCTTGTCGCAGCCGTCGACCGTGCAGCGCGCGCCGCCACCGTGGCGCTTGCAGCGATTGTTGCAGGCCACCGCCATGCCGCAACCGGGTACGGTGCACTTGGGGCCGCCGCCGTGGCCGATGCATTTCGTGTCGAAGCGCATGGCTGCCTTGGTGCAGCCTGCGTGCTGGCACTGACCTTTGCGGAGCGCTGTCGCGCGGCGCGGCACCACGGCGGCAAGAGGCGTGGCGTCGTCAGTCGTTGTCATCGAGATGCGCTATGGGTGAATGAAGTACACATCCACGAGACGCGTAAAAGCATCTTGAAAGTGCTTTTGTACACGGCACGGATTTTTACAACCCCGTGTTTGGTTGTTGTTTTTACACAACTGGTGTCTTCCGGAGACTGCCTAGGGGTAGTATCTATCAAGGCCATAAATTGCACCATCATGGACACCAGGCAAAGATTACAGTCTAGTGAGCTTTTCTTTCATTTCTAGCGGATCCTCTCTAGAAGCGATTTCTCGCAACCCGTGCAGCGTCACCCAATTGACGAGGCTCTCGCAGCTCTCGAGAACGAACGGCGCCGCCCGGAAGCGCACTTTGGAGAGGAGCGGACACGAGGCGACGACGGCGGTCAGGAGGCCGTCCATCTGGGCTTGATCGACGGCAGTGGCAAAATTGATCTTGAGCGTCTGGAGCTTCGGGCACGTAGCAAGCACTGGTTGCAGCCGCGGCACATCCAGCGGCGACGTATCGCTGCCCAACAGCGTGTACAAGCTGACAATGTTGCGGACCCATTGGCCGTAGGCCGCACCGAGGTTGTAAACGTCCGTCGCGTACACGTGGACGTCGGCTATCGGCGGCAGCGGCGTGCGGAGGCGAAAGTCGGCAGCATCACCTTGATGCGCGTAGATATTGCACAGAGCGGGAAGCGCTTCGACCACGGTCGCGCGCTGCATCTCGCGTAAGGCATAGGCACTTGCGAACGGCCACAGCTCGGGCCGCGCGGCCAAGAGCGTCAGCAAGGCGTTCAGAGGCGCGTCGCGAGCGTAGGACGGTACTGCGTGAAGAAAGGCGATGACATCTTCAGGCAGAGACAAGAAGCGAGCCACCTGTAGTACGATCGACGGCAGTGGCCACGGCGTCGCCGCTCGTTGCACGCGCTTCGCCATCCAAATGTATTAAATAGGAGTGTCAACCTTGTACCAGATGGAAAAGGACATGTGGGAAATGACCCAGCCGCCAACCGATTTGCTAGAGCTCAAGCCATTTGAACAAACTACACCGCATATCCGGCCTGCCGCATATCCATGGTCGAAGCCAGTCCTATCGTGCGAATCGATGCCCGCAAAGTGCGTTTTCAAAATTTCGTGTAGGTGCGGCCGCGTACCTAAGTCGTACCATCTTCTTGTAAACATACCTCTTCTAAGTGCGGTATGCGTACTTGACTGAAATCACCCAGCTTCCCGATTACGTGCGAACGCGCGCCAATCCTAGCGACGGTGGACTTCTCTGTCAACCAATATGAATGAACGTTATCGTTAATCAAGACTTTGCGTGCGTAGCGCTACGTCTGAATGCGAGGGAGTTGGCACCAGCGCTTGGTCGTTGGGAGTGAGATGCGTACTAGTAATATGGGGAGATCGATCCCGTGGTGGATCCCACTCCCTCAGTGCTGTCGACCAGTGAACGCGGTAATCAGGCAACGCTTCGCATACACACACATGCCTGCTAGCTCCCCCTCTTTCCATTTGCCCACACTTGACCACGTTCGCATGACTCGTGCTTGTTACGATCAACAGCAGCCTACATGTCGGTCAGCGCGGGCCACGAGCTCGTCACCGAGTCGTCCGACCACACCGTCTCTGTCGTTTTGGTCGTTGCAAGGGCGCCCGCATAGTACTTGGTCCAGAGCTCGGCAGCGACCGCGACCGGATCATCGACTCCGTGCGTCGGGTAGACTTTAGTGTCGTAGAGCCACTTGTGCTCAAAGGCACGCAGGAGGTCGTTTATCGCGGCGTCGTCGACCGGACGTTTGGCAGCGAATGCAGCGACGACTGCCTGGAGCCAGAGATGCCACCGCCCAAGGTAGTAGTCGCCAACGACACCGGCCCACTCTTTCCGCGCATAGTCGTTGAGAATGTCGTTGAGGCTCCATGTCGTGATTTGCACGCGCGCTTCAAACTCAAAGTACGCCGCGTCGCCCGATGCCTGGAGCCGCTTGGCGTCCGCAATCCAGCGGCCGAGGAGGAAGTCTGGGTGTGTCGCCAGGACCCGGTCGCAGTCCCACATCAAGGTCAGAATCGCATTGGCCTGGGCTCGCAGCACCGGGACCGTCGTCGTCGTTGGCGCGTGGTACAGGTCGAGAAACGTCTCGTAGTACGTGCTCATGAGGTCACTCAGACCTTGCCGGGCCACGTCGACGAGGTCGTGGGTGAAGGCGTCGGTGGTCGCGAGCCCGGGCGTGGCCGTCGCGGCGTCGAGCAGCTGGCGCCACGCGTCGCGCACCGGCTCGCCCCGCACTTTCAAATGGTGCAGCACGGGGCGGTACGCGAGCATGTTGAAGCGAGGTCGGAACGTCATGAGGTTGTTGTGCTTGTCACGACCGGAGTAGACGGCAGCGGTCAGCGACGTCCAGGCGGCTTGCGCGTGCGGCGACGCCACGTGGTACCGGCTACGCACGTACCGTGCCACGTAGCTCGACACGTTCAGCGGCGTCGACTGCCAGTTCATGTCGAGGCTGAGGTCGTACACGACGTAGTTTTGGAAAATGCCCTCCATCGTGAGCCCGAGACCGACCATGGTCCCATGGCTCTGCGCTTTCGCTGCAATAGGCGCCGATGCGAGGTGTGGGAGGTTGCCGTGCAGCCCGAGGTTGCCGCCAAAGGTGTGCAAGACGCAGAAGACCCAGTCCTTCCCATAGTAGTTTTTGGTGGGCGCGTAGAACGGAGCTTCCTCACTACAGAGCATTCTCATCTCTCATCCACATGGAAAAGAGAGCACACCTGTAGAGATCCAGCACGAGCATGCGGTGGTTTGGGACACCGTCGAGGTACGCTTGCACCTTGTCCTGCGTCCAGTAATCGCGCATCGAGATGAAGAGCCACGCTTGCATGAGCCAGACAGCGTTCGGGTCGACCGCCAGCATCGACTCGATGACCGCGTTGGACGAGGCGCGGAGATACGCGTGGTCCGACGTGTGCGGCAAGAGCTCGTTGTATGTATCCGCAGAGTACAGCGACGACGTGTAGCCGCCGTAGAGCGTTTGCTGCGTCGTCAAAAAGGCCTTGCCGACCGCGCGGTAGAGCGGGTCGGTCGGGTCGAGCATGTACACGCACGTGTAGTTGCGGTCAAAGCCGGCCCACTGGTCCGACTGCCGCATGCTCGCCGATGGGTACAAGGTGCGCATCTCGTCCGGGACATGGCCGGCAAACGCTGGCAGCGCCGGCAGCATGCCAAATTCACGGTACCGGCTGAGAAGCTTCAGCTGCAGCGCGTGCTGGGCGTCGATAAAGTGCTGCGGCAGGCGACCGAGCGGGCTCCAGTCGCCGCGGATGTTGCCCATGCGCTCCCACGCGAGATAGGCCGCGCCGCCAAGGAACCGATCAAGGCCTTGTGACGAGACATTAAAGTGTTTGAACGTCTCTTGCCACGTCTTTTCTTGGCCCGTGATCGCGAGCGGCATGTTGATGCCGTTGAGGACCATCCAGTCGACGTGCGTCTCCCACTGCGTCCAGTCCCACGCCCACATCGAGTACGAGTGCGTGCAAATGTTGAGGTAGTACGTGACCTTGGACGCCTTGGCCAGCGTCGTGCGCGATGGCACGGGCGGCAGCACGGGCGGCAGCCGCAGCGCGTGGTTGTCCCAGTTGACCTGCGTGTGGACGACGTCTTTCAAGTACGAATGGAGCGCGTAGCCCATCGCGGTGGCGCTCGAGCCCGAGATATGGATGCGACCGTCTTGCATGTCGATGGTCGCCACGTCGAGGCCGTTGTCGCCCAATGGCACGACCTCAAACGCGAGCTAGCGACGCACGTTAGCAGCGAGCGTCGAGGAGATGGCTATGTACCTGCGAGACGTATGGGAGGCCGAGGCGGCGCGCCACGAGGCTCTGCATGGCGCTCACAGCGTCGTGCGTCGGGAAGGCAAGGTCGACCTGCACCGCCACGGCCGCGACCACGGTCGTCGCCAGCCACCACACCCAACACGATCTTGACATCTTGAAAATTGCCATGCGGTGCAAAGTGGTGTGCTTCAAGCACGTTTAAACAGGTTAAACGACGTTTGTGAATGGTTAACGTGTTTAAACAGCTCGCTCGACACGGCGATTTCGCAAGGAGTGGACGAGATTTTTCGCGCAAGGCCGAGCGATCTAGAAGTCCAAGATCTAGAAGCACACACGCCACGAGATCCAAGATCCAAGCACAGAGCAAGCGAGCTCAAGCCAGTTCCCAGTGTCAATTGACCCTTCAACGCCAAAAACTTTTTAATCCTGACGTGACGGATCATCCTTGCAGTTATTACATTTAGGAAGTTGACCCGCCTCGCCCATCGCTGACATGACGGACACAATATGGACGGGATGTAGTCTAGTCAGGCTAATATGGCCAATTCCCGGACAACACTATGGTTGTTGTCCCAAGTATTAGTTTGGTCTTTATTGGGGAATATCGCCTGCGTACGACCTCGCGCGAGCTATCCCTCAGCGAGTGGGGTCCACCACGGGATGGATCTCTCCGTGCGCAGCTCACTCCCAACGACCAAGTGCTGATGCCAACGCCCATGCATTCAGGCGTAGCACAACGTATGCGAACTCTTTGTAAGAAAGATAACGCGGAACACGTTAACATAAATTTGTCGTGAGAGTCCAGAAACGGATCGAGGAACGCGCTCGGAAATGACGCTGGAGGACAGCAAGGCTCCAGGCTCCATCATGCCCCGGGGCACGAAGCATGCGACGACGACACTAAACGACGCCTGGCGGGCAAGTACCCCGATGCCCCGGGGCACAGGCACTTGGTGACGGTCCAGTCTGCCCCGGTACCCCGCAAGACACGCACAGTCAGCCCATCCGACCAATCAGCGCGCCCGCTCGCCATAGTCAAGCCTAATAACTCAGATAATCACAACCCTTTTCACATTCAAGCACACGCGTGCAGCCCGCGGATCCCAGCGAGTCCGGAGCTTCACGAGATTGGTGGAGAAGCAGGGTACGAAGACCCCTCGTACCCCGAGCAACATGAACGAACCCGAGACGGCCGTGGCGGCCTATGCCGCCCTCACGAAGACGGAGCGCGCAGCCGAGCCGGGCAAGCGAGCGCTGGCCAAGATGTGGGCCCTTCTCGCGGAGCCAGACCACTGGGCAGTCGCGCAAAAGTCCCTCGCTCACGCGCAAGGCTTCCCAATGGCCCAGAAGACCAGCGGGCCGGTCGTGTACACCAACATCCCGCACCGGAACCAGTGCGCGACCATCCTCATGGCGATCGCGGGCACGGCGTGGCAAACAGCGTTCCCGAGAAAAACGGCCGAGGACGCTTACGTCGAGTTTGACTGCCGCTCGACGGCCTTTATCGCACGGAAGGCACGGACGGACGCCGGTCTACAACGGGGCCCCCAAGACGACGACCTCGAGGCGTTTGTGCCGAGCCCAACGACCATGGCGATGATGACGATGGCCGACCAGCACAAGTCGTGGATGAGCTCGGCCGAAGTCTTGCGCACGTTCGAACGGATGCAACTGAAGGAGCACGAGCGCAAGACCGAGACGCCAACGCCGCAGCCGGTGCCCGAGCCGCCGACGCCGCAGCTGCTGCCCGCGCCCAAGGAAGGTGCGCCACTGACGCCACCCGAAGCTGGCGACCCGGAGTGGGCGGTCACGTTACGGTCGATTAGCCGTGCTCTGGAAGGACTCGTGGCACGAGCCGAGAACCCCCCACCCGTCCAAAAGACCACGAGCCCGACAAGCCCCAAGTCCAGCCTTGCAGCCTTTCGTCTCTCGAAGGTGCCGACGTTCATCCACAAGGAAGACGACAAACTCGCCCCTGCCGTTCACGTCCGGAGCGTCGAAGGCATGGCTCTCCATGGTCATGGCTCGGTGGCCATGCGCGTGACGATGTTTATCGACGCACTCGGCTCGAAGGAGCGTGCGTGGGTGTTCCACCTCATGAGCACGAAGAAGTTCGTCCCAGCGACGATGACCGAGAAGAACTGGGGCACACTCGTCGACGCGTTCTACACGGAGTACATCGGTGACAAGACGTACCGCGAGTCCATGTACGAGAAGGTCACGCAAAAGGACAACGAGCGCTTCACCGAGTACGTCATGCGGGTGGCGCTATGGGCCGCCGTGGCCGGCCAACAAACGGACGAAGAGCGCAAGATGCGGATCGTGGTACAAGGCGTGGTTGATCGACAGCTCCACGCTGCACTGTGGCAGATCAGCGAGGACTCGTTGTCGTGGGACGAGTTCGAGCACAAGGCCAAGCGGCTGATGGCGTCAGCCGACGCGCATGCACGAAAGGCCAAGAATACGCGGTCCAAGTCGTATCGCGTCGCCCAGGCGACCGTACCGACCGATGAGAACCTCCAGGTCACCGCCGCGCGGACTGGTGGGCCCCCGTCGCACGGTAACCAGATGCCGGCAGCGACACCCGCGCCATCGCCCGCGCCGTCCACTCCCGGTCGCACGGGGCAGGGCTGTCACGTGTGTGGCGAACCCGGACATTACCGCCAAAACTGCCCACAAGCCCAGCACCTCGCGTCGTGTGATTTTCACGGGGCGCACATTGGACACACGTCGGATGATTGCTACGTCCTCAAGAACGCGCGTCGGTATGCCGAGACCATGACGCGGGCCCAGACGGCGCAGTCCACGGACGACATGGCCGGCACGTCATCCCCGGAAGCCACTACCCCGACGCCGACGCCGGTTTTTCGGGAAGACCGCGCCTAAGAGCGAAGGCAGCGGTCAAGAAGGATACGGGAGCTCACGACCAGCCAGTGGCCAGCACGACCACTAGTGACGTCGAAATGAAAGTAATGTTGCGCCCCACGCGTTTGCGACCAACCGTTCTCCACGAAGCAGCAGAAGGAGGGAACGGACGGACGCAAGGGCGAGGGGCGCAAGGGGCGAGCGAGCCGCTCAACCCAATGGGAGCAGAAGATGCGTGGGTGAACGACAACATCACCACGCAGCAATACGACAGAAGACAATCCTCGGACGCGGCGCTAGCCACAGCGCGCACCGGGCACAACGAAGGAAGGAACTCGTCCACGGATACGGCGCTTGCTACAGCGCGTGACGAGGACGACGAAGGAAGAACCCCGTCCACGGATACGGCGCTTGCCACAGCGCGTGACGAGGACGACGAAGGGCGCACACCACTCTCGGAAACACGGTCCGAGGAGTGCAGCGAAGAGGAGCCAATCCCGGTCGAGGTGCCGGCAGCGGCGAGCCGGGAAGACGACACCGTCTCGCCATCGGAGGATCCGGACGGAGTCCCAACACAGTGGCCGGGGATGACATCCTCCAGACACTCGCCACCGTTCTCGCACCGGAAGAGATCGACAACGTGGGCGACGTCCAAGAGGTCGGCGACATGGGTACTGCGGACACGATGGGTCGGCGGGCCGGACGCGCCGTCATCGCGTACCCGGAGTGGTCAGCGGTGGGACGCGACGCCGGGAAGTGGCAGCACCATTATCGACGATGGCGCGCAGCAGATGTCGAGTCCGGTGCGCCGACGGTCCACACGATTGTGCCTGGTGATCTCGAAGTCCATCGCGTGCACTTTGAGCGGTGCGAACTCGTCGAGTCTGGATATCCACAACTGCTTGTACCGGCGGTGTGCGATGGCGAGCCGTCCAAGCTGCTTTTCGACACCGGTGCGATGGTCTCTCTGCTCAGCGAGAATCATCACTGGCTACTCGGGTCACCAACGCTTACGCCTTTCCCGCGCGGTATCAAGGGCGTTGGCGGCGGCCATCTCGCTGTACTCGGCCAATGCCTCGTCACGATCCAACTCGGCCAGTCGACGTTCGTGCAGCCGTTCGTGGTATGTCCAGGACTCACCCGCGATGGCATCCTGGGCATGGACTTCGTGTTGACGCACGGCGTGTCTATGATCTCACTGCGCGACGAGATCACCCTCCAGCTCGCCTCGTCGGGAGCCGCGCAGGACCCAAGCCCAAACGAAATTGAGGTGGCGGACGCCGGGATGGTCGTCGTCGCAGCAAGCAACGTCGAAGAAGCAGCCCCGTGGGTCACGGAGCTTCAAGAACGATATGCCAACATGTTTGCGCGAAAAGGAGAGCCAATACGGCAGACCCCCGTCTACGAGCATCACGTCCAAGTCGTCGGCGAGCCGGTGTGCCAATCCTACTACGCGATGGGGCCAAAGAAGCGACGGCTCACCAACGAAATCGTGCGGCAGATGGAGCGCGACGGGATTGTCGAACGGGTGGAAGAAAGCGAGTGGGCACACCCCGCCTTCATCCTCCCCAAGGGTGACACGATCGACTACGAGGACCCGAGCAAGTGGCGGCTCGTGAACGACCTCCGACGAATCAACGCACAGACCGTCGTCACGGCGCATGCAATCCCTCGAATCCCGGACGTGATCGACCGCGTGGCCAAGTCGAGCCGCTTCACGGTCTTCGACTCCGCCTCGTCGTTCTGGCAAGTCCCGCAGTCCGATGGTTTCCGCTTCGTTTTCATCACGGAGGACGGCATGTACCGCCCCACCGGCATGTTGATGGGCGGCGTCACCTCGGCGGGCGCGATGCAAGGTTTTATGGTCCACACGCTGCGCAAGTACTTGGGCCTTTTTGTCGAGGTGTACATTGATGACGTCATCGTGCACTCGGTCGATCCGTCAAAACACCATGAACACGTCGAAGCTGCCCTCGAACTCATGCACGCGGGCGGCTGGACGCTACGCAAGGAGAAGTGCATCTGGAACGCGTCGCGCGTGGAATACCTCGGCCATGTCCTTGAGGGCAACGGTGTGGTTCGCCCGAAGGAGACCCTCATCAAGACGATTATCAGGACGCCCGCGATTCGATCCAGTGACGAGCTTCGCGAGTTCCTTGGCCGCATCTCGTATTACCGCCGGTTCATGCCCGGGTTCGCCACGGCTGCCGCGCCACTCTACGCGTCGGTGAACAAGACGCCGTTCTCGCTCGATGAGGAGGGCAAGACAGCGGTTGCCCGGCTCATCGAGATGGCCAACAAGATCAACTCGATATGCGCACCCGACGAGTCGAAGGAATACAACTTGACGGTGGCGGCCGACTTTGAGTTCATCGGGTGCGTACTGTCGCAGACGCATGACGGCACGGAACGCCCGCTTGGCTTTGCGAGCACTCGACTCACCGAGCACGAGCTCCGCTACACACGCGTCGAGAAGACGATGCAAGCCGTACGACTCGGCCTGCGTCAGTGGCGACACCTGCTCGACCCCGGAAGGGTCAACGTGCTCACGACGGAAGCCAACTTGTCCTGGGCCGTGAGCAGCCTCGCGCTCTGCGGGCGCTTGGGCAAGTGGCAAGCCGAGATGGCCCAGTTCAACCTGCACGTGAACATGTGTCGTACACGACAACACTACCCAGCCGAGCTCCTCCTCGGCCGTGAACCACGACTCGACGCGACGGTCACGCTACGAGCACCGGCGTTCGAATGGCCATGCATGGAGAAGGACGCGCTGATCCTCGCGAGCGACGGAGCCAACCGCGGCGGAGCCGTGAGCGGCTATGGTTTCTGTATCTGGGACGGACGCAAGAATGAGCTCCTCCATGTCGACGGCCGGCGAGGCCAAGGAGACGTCACGGTCAATCAGCAGGAGGCAGCAGGACTCGAAGCGGCTTTACACGCGGCGCAGAGTCGCGGAGCTCGGGTTGTCGTCACGTTCAGCGACTCGCTTCTTCTGTGCAACCTTATCCACAAGGTGTACCGGCCGCAGAACGAAGAGCTCCGGAAGCGTATCGCAGCGATCCAACGCGTACTCGCCAGCTTTGATGCGTGGGTCGTGCACCACATACCCCGCGAGCACAACCAGGCGGCCGACTTTGTGGCCAACTGGTTCATGGACGCTGACGAGGACGAGGCCACGCGAGGCATCCGAGCGACGACGCAGCTTCGCCCGGCCGACGTGCACTCATGGATACTAGCCAATCACGTCGCGCCACCGTGGGCCAACGCACCTCAGTACATGACCAACGATGGTCCAGAGCCAACGGTCGCCTCCGCTCGACTCGACGACGAGCACGACGACGGTCTCGCCGCTGAAAGACGACAACGGTTGCGGGCAGCGCAACTGGGCACACCCTGGATGGCGCGTTTCATTGCCATCCTCGAAGACACGGACGACGTGACGCCATCGAAACCCGACCGGCAGGACGTGAGCGAGTACTGCATGGAAGACGGTGTGCTCTGCAAGCTGGTGTATTACGGGCCGAGTCAACGCAAGGCTACGGCAGCCCGACCAGTATCGGTGATTCCCTCAACCCTGCGAGCACCGATCATGGCAGAAGCTCACGCGGGCCTCGATGAGTCGCACGGAGGACAGCAAGAAACGTACGACAAGCTCCGGAGTGTCGCCTTCTGGCCCGGCATGCACGGCGACGTGAGTCGGTATGTCGCCGCGTGCGTGCGGTGCCAATCCGCGAAGCACCCACGGCATTTGACGAAGGCGAAGAGCGGGCGTACAAGAATGGGCTACGCCCCGATGGATGCACTCGCAGTGGACCACGCTGACTTGCCTTCTCGAGAGACGACCAAGGGCAACAAGCACATCCTCGTGGTTACAGACCTCTTCACCCGATATGGTGCATTCCAGTCCCCGACGTCAGTGCACGAACGACGGCCCGGGCTCTCCACAAGCACGTTATCCAGCCGTTCGGCGCGCCGCGCGCACTTACGTCGGACCGTGGCAAGGCGTTTGTCAGCAAAGTGAGCAACTGCCTCTACGACATGTTCAACATCAAGCACAATCCGACGACGGCATACCGACCCCAAGCCAACTCGATCGTGGAACGTGTCAACCGCGTGATCAAGGAACGGCTCCGCGCCATGATCTTGGCAACCGACGACTGGGACGAGCATCTCGGCGCCATCAACGCAGCCTACAACCGCAGCATCCACAGCGCCACGGGCTACGCGCCAGCATTTGCGTTCTTCGGTCGGGAACTCTTCACGCCGACTGAGCGGATGCTGCATCGTGGCGCGACGACCGAGTACGCCGATTGCGCCGACTTTGTCCGAGCCATCCTCCCGCGGTCGGTTGAAATGGCTGACGAGATCCGCACGGCCGATGAGGCGGCACGCGAACGCAACCGGGCCGCGATCGACGCCAAGAATGCCGAGTGGACGAAGGCGGGCGGCGCGGCGGCCGGGAATTACGTCATCGGTGACCTCGTGTGGCTACTCGTGCCTATCGGGGCCGACCCCGACGGCAAGCTGCCAGCTCGCAAGCTCCGGAGCGCATGGAAGGGGCCGCTGCGGGTGCTGTCCCGGACGGGAGTCACGTACCGACTGGGCATCCCCACGGGAGGCGTTTTGCCCTCGGCCGTGCATGCCAATCGTATGCGCCCGTTCACAGACGAAACGGTCTCGCCGACGGTGCCGACCGACGACGCGGACGTCTCCGGCGTTGACTGGTTTGCCCCTATGGACGCGCTGCTCGACCGTGCACAGCTCGTACGCAACCGACGCCACAACTGGCGCGTCGTCGAAGTCCTCCAACATCATCCACGCAGCGCCCGCGAGCAAAGATGGCGTGTCCGATGCGATGACGGCGTCCAACGTCGCGTGAGTGAGCAAGAAGTGCCCGAAGACATGATTACACGGTTCGTCAGCAAGGTAAGCCATGTTGACGAAGTCACGCAAGTCTATCTCGACGACTTGCGTGACGGCCTACCCGCTTCGGCGGAGTAGGCCGATGAACGAAGTTACTAGGCCAGCTACGGTCAGAGCTCGGTGTCGCGCCACTTGCCAAGGCTTGGGCAAGTGCCGTACTCGTTCTTGCACGGCAGGCCGCGACGAGGTTGAACCTCGCAGGCCATGGCCGGGCGCAGCGAAGCCTCGAGACAGACAAGGTTAGTGGGCGCACAGCTGGCGCGCAGCCAGCTTTTGCCACGCAACCGCGTCCGAGCCCGAACAACTCCCACTTCTCCGACGGCCCCAAACGGCCGCCGTGGGCAATGTCGTGAGAGCCCAGAAACGGATCGAGGAACGCGCTCGGAAATGACGCTGGAGGACAGCAAGGCTCCAGGCTCCATCATGCCCCGGGGCACGAAGCATGCGACGACGACACTAAACGACGCCTGGCGGGCAAGTACCCCGATGCCCCGGGGCACAGGCACTTGGTGACGGTCCAGTCTGCCCCGGTACCCCACAAGACACGCACAGTCAGCCCATCCGACCAATCAGCGCGCCCGCTCGCCATAGTCAAGCCTAGTAACTCAGATAATCACAACCCTTTTCACATTCAAGCACGCGCGTGCAGCCCGCGGACCCCAGCGAGTCCGGAGCTTCACGAGAGATGAAAGATCTTCAACACCACATGTTCCATTGCCGTCATGTACCGGAACCACAGTGTGCCACACCGACCCCGTGCAAAATCCGTTCTCACTTGCTACGCCGTGTTGGTAACCAAGATCGTCAGCGATGTGCTCGAATGTGCTGTGATTCGTTTGATTCATTGGATGTTTCATTTTAATTTCAATCAGGGATCGATAGGCGTTTGCTTCGTTCAAGTAATCTTGGTGTTTGCATTGGGTAGGCTATTTTGCTGAAGAAATAGCGTTGGAGTCTGCACCAGTCGACTTGCCGAGCGCGATCAGTGTGCAGTAACAGCAGGCCTCATAATACAGTAATATATAATTCGTAATAATGTAAGATTGTGTGTGGGCAATGTTTACTGGACACCGCTCTAGCTTCATGTCATGTTTAAAAACTCCTGTGTGTCGATGTCAATGGTATTCTCACTTTCAAATCGTCTCAGTATGGTCCGCATCACGTCTCTCGCGCTCCTCGCCTCGGCAGCCATCGCGGCGCCCATCTCGTACCTCAAGGTACAACACAAAACCAAGCAGACCGAAGGCATTGAAATCGTCGGCGGCAAGGAAGCCGAGATCGGCAAGCACCTGTACGTCTCGGGTCTCCGCGAAGTCGCCACGGGCCCCAACTACTGCGGTGGCGCCGTCATCTCGCCGACGACGATCCTCACGGCCGGCCACTGCGCCTACGGCGACTGGATCAAGTACGTCTCGATTGGCTCGCATTACCTCAGCGGCTCCAAGGACGGCGAGCGCATCCAGGTCAAGAAGATCGTGCTACACCCCAAGTTCAACTATGACACGATGGTCTACGACTTTGCGATCCTCGAGCTCGCCAACGCGACGACCGTGACGCCGATTGAGGTTCTCTTTGACGAGAAGGACGCGGCCGGTGCTCCCGGTGTCCTCGGCATGGCCCGTGGCTGGGGCACGACCTCGTCGGGTGGCTCGCAGTCGAACGTGCTCAAGGAGGTCGGCCTCAAGCTCTGGTCCAACACGGACTGCCGGGCCGCTTTCGACAAGCTCAACAATCCGTCGGTACCTCCCATCGATGTCGCGATGATCTGCGCCGGCGGCGTCCAGGGCGAGGACACGTGCCAGGGTGACTCGGGTGGCCCGCTCACGGTCACCAAGAACGGCAAGGACGTGCTCGTCGGTCTCACGAGCTGGGGCCTCGGCTGCGCCCAGGCCGGTCTCCCGGGTGTGTACGCGCGCCTTTCGTACGCCAAGGAGTTTCTTGCGCCGTACCTCCCCAAGCCGGCTTGCGAAGGTTAGGTGACAGCATGTCGACGTAACTGCAATTTTGTGATGATTTTATGTTATCAATTTGGTATTGATGCCGTCGGTGTATGAAAGCAGCTCTCAGCGTATGAGTGCTGAGAATAGAGGAAGAGTTGTTAAGAGCTAGGGGAGAGAATATCATCATGGGCAAAAGACACGTCGCTTGACGCGTCTTTGATCACAATTGATCGAGGTACAGCATGGTTGAGAGCAAATGGCAGCCGCCACGTGCGGCATGCCTCTCGGGCGAAAGACGCGGTGGTTGCAAGCCAACGGTGCTGTTGTTGAAGTGAGTCATTATTATGCATTAAGTTCTTGCTTGCTACTTGCGTTCTGCTTGGCGCATGCCGAGTGGCGTCATGTGGCAAGCCCACGGTGTGAGATCGGCCATGTACTACGGCGACGGCTCGTTGAAGAAACCGCTGCGCCGTCCTTGGCGATTCAACTGGTAGCGTTTTGTGGTGTTGTCGCCACTCTGCAACTTGATGCGCCAAACCTACGATTGTGCAGCATGAGAGGCTCCATGGCAACGAAGATGACGTTCGACCGCATGGATCGGGCAACCGGGATCTGCCATTGTCGGTGCAAACACCTATCGGCCTCTGCCAAGAGTAGGTGCAGCAGTCGCCCCTGGTTCTGCTTGAGAAGGTCTTGTTCGGGTGCTCTGTGGTGATGCGAGTGTCGATCAATTCTTTATGGAATGCAAGCAATTGATGTGATTGGTGCTGGTTGCCCCGCGCCGCCGCCTGCGCAGCCACGGCCCGGCGAGCGAATGAAGATGAAGGAGATTGCTAGTCGAACTCTTTGTAACAACGAAGATAACGCGAAACACGTTCATATATGGTGCTGGTTGTTGTTGAAGTGGGGCGACTACAACGGGAACTGCGGTTTAGGCAACGGCTGAAGATGACGCGCTTGCTTGTCGAAAAACACAGCTTCACACGAGCCGCGAGAAACTACTCCACCTGACCATAGTCTTTGGTCCGGTTGCAGCATGCCCTGGTCCAACCGCGTTCGTGGGTTGCTGAGGCTTTGAGAGGCAGCGGACGCAGCGATGGAGTCCAGCGAGTCGTGTAGCGTGACGTTAGAGTCTCCACCAACGATGTCGATTGGGCTCAACTCGGGAAAAACGCTCAAAGCGATACCGCGAGAGGGTCGAGTGCATACTGTCAACTCTTCTTGGCAAGAGCACCTCGTTATATCTGCAACTACTGGTTGTGGTCAAATCGACAAGAGTCTTGTGCATTGGAAATGCTATTGTATTGAAAACGACTTGGTAAAAACTAACTAGCTCGCCTCAATTCGGCCGTGGCGGCCCACACACATACGACGACGGCACAAGGGTCCACGCTGCTTAGCAAGCCGGCTTGGGGAGGTACGGCTCAATGAAGTCCTTGGCGTACGAGAGGCGCGCGTACACACCCGGGAGACCGGCCTCGGCGCAGCCAAGGCCCCAGCTCGTGAGACCGACAAGCACGTCCTTGCCGTTCTTGGTGACCGTGAGCGGGCCACCCGAGTCGCCCTGGCACGTGTCCTCGCCCTTGACGCCACCGGCGCAGATCATCGTGACGTCCACGGGGGTCAAACCCGGCTCGTTGAGCTTGTCGAAAGCGGCCTGGCAGTCCTTGTTGGACCAGAGCTTGAGGCCGACCTCCTTGAGCACGTTCGACTGCGAGCCACCCGACGAGGTCGTGCCCCAGCCACGGGCCATGCCGAGGACACCGGGAGCACCGGCCGCGTCCTTCTCGTCGAAGAGAACCTCAATCGGCGTCACGGTCGTCGCGTTGGCGAGCTCGAGGATCGCAAAGTCGTAGACCATCGTGTCCATGTCGAACTTGGGGTGGTGCACGATCTTCTTGACCTTGATGCGCTCGCCGTCCTTGGAGCCGCTGAGGTAGTGCGAGCCGATCGAGACGTACTCGATCCAGTCACCTTCGGCGCAGTGGCCGGCCGTGAGGATCGTCGTCGGCGAGATGACGGCGCCACCGCAGTAGTTGGGGCCCGTGGCGACGTCGCGGAGACCCGAGACGTAGAGGTGCTTGCCAATCGCGGCCTCGCCACCACCGACGATTTCAATCGTGTTCGTCGACTGGTGGTCGCCCTTGATGTAGTGGACGATGGGGGCGGCCTGGACGGCGGCGACGGCGGCGAGGGCAAAGACAGAGGCGGCTTGGACCATGGTGCTCAAATTGAAAAGTAAGTGAGGTGGAGTCGCTAGCTGGTGCTTCAAAGCGGGTTCTGGTCTGGTTAGACAGAGTGGCATCGCTCGGCATCCTGTGCGGCTGATCAGCCGCATGGACGAGGTAAACCCTACACCTAGTAGCACTTCACGATTCCAGAATTTGCTCCCATTTGTAAGATTCTGAGTTGGTTATTTCGAGGCGCTCACATCGGAGTAGCCTGTGGACGGCGAACGTAGGTAGCAAACAAACTTTATGGGAGCTGTGGATGGTCGTAGCGACAGTCTCTCATCTATAATCGTTTCGAATG